AGGCATATTGTTGCACAAATTCTCGTTTTTAATTGTGGAAGGCCATGTTAACTACTTTTTTTTTTTTTTAACCTACATCATCCAGGGTGTCCTCAATTCTGAGTTTCCACTCCTCTTTTTTTTTACTCAAGGGAAAGACACTCCTTTTTTTAAGGTTTATTTTATTTATTTGAAAGAGTTACAGAGAGAGAGACAGAGAGGTCTTCCATCCGCTGGTTCACTCTCCAGATGGCCACAACGGCCGGAGCTGCACCCATCTGAAGCCAGGAGCCAGGAGCTTCTTCCGGGTCTCCCACGCAGGTCCAAGGGCCCAAGGACCTGGGCCACCTTCTACTGCTTTCCCAGGCCATAGCAAAGAGCTGGATCGGAAGAGGAGCAGCGAGGTCTTGAACCTGTGCCCATATGGGATGCCGGCGCTTCCTGCCAGGGCTTTAACCCACTGCGCCACAGTGCCAGCCCCAAAGTGAGATTACAAGGGACAGTGACTCCTAAGTGCATCCCAAATTAGACGGGAGCCCCAGGAATGCATCAGAGAGGTTCCCTCTCCATTGTCTTCCTTCTTCCTTGAGCAGTGTCTGTGCTGTAGAGCACCCCTGATTCCTGCAGTGGGGAGCAACCGCTCACTTAGAAGCCGCTGCAAGTGTTCCATGCCTGGACCTCTCGCTTCCTCCATGGAAACGTATTCCTATGAGAATCCAAGTAAAGTTGTCCTTGCAAATTTGATACTTGGATTGTAAGCTCAACTGTTCAGCTGAAGACTGTGGAGAGGGGCAGGTATTGTGGTACAGCGTGTTCAGCTTCTGCTTTGGACACGTGCGTCCCACACTGGAGTGCCCCCTTGAGTCCTGCCTGCACTTCCCACCCCGCTTCCCGGTAGTGCACCCTGGGAGGCAGCAGGTGATCACTCTAGTGCTTCAGTCCCTGCCACCCATGAAGGGGACACAGATGGAGTTCCAGGCTCCCATCTTCAGCTTGCCCAGCTTTGGATGTTACAGGCATTTGGGGAGTGAACCAGCAGGTGGAAGACCTCTGTCACTCCACTTTTTGGGGGAAAAAAAAAAAAAGGAAGAAAAGAAAAGGAGGGGGAGGGAGATAAATATGGAGAAAAATTTTATCTTGAAATCAGATGTACTACAGTGATATCTATTATTAGTATGAATTATGAATGCCCTGAAAGAGGAACAGTGCTGCTTCCACAGGTGGACTTCCCTGTGGTAGCCTGAGCAAAATTACTTTGTTTTTTCTAAATGCCGATGAAATACTTCCATTTCTTTTTTTATTAGAGAGGCAGGCAGACAGAAAGCTCCCATCCACTGTGTCAGTCTCCAAGATGCCCACAACAAATGGGCCCGGGCCAGGTCCAGAGCCAAGAGCCAGGAATGAAATCCAGGCTTCCTGTGTGGGTGGCAGGGACCGTCCCCACGACTCCCACAGTCTGCCCTAGTGGAAGCTGGAGTCGGGAGCCAGAGCCTGGAAGCAAACCCGGGTGCTCCAGTAGGGGGCACAGGCATCTCAACCACTAAATGCCTGCTCCGATGCTTTCATTTTTAAATTTCTTTTTAAATAGCCTTCTCTTAGAATATGAATATTCAGGGTCTATGCTATTTCTATTATAACCATCTCAGGGCAAAGATTTCATTCTTTCACATGATCAAAGATGTGGTGTTAGAATTCTGAAAAACACCATTTCATTTTTAATTAATACAGGCAGATTTTCTTAGTACACAATGTGAATATTTGTTAATAGTGCTCTCATTTACACTCGGTTTTATTTGAGACCAAGAAATTACATTTTTCTTAAAAAATGATGGTTCTTAAGGGGGTAGTAAGTCAAAGGCACCTGAACATGGGTTTTGGGCTTGAACAGTTTAAGCCCCCTGGCCTAGTTCTTTGTAACTTTCACTTACTCTCCCTAAAACACTTTCCTCACCCATAAAGTGAGAGCAGTAATACCTCACAGGGTTGCTATGAGGATAAAATTTAAAAATGAGTAGTCATTAGTAAATGCAAGCTATGACTCTTTCATTTTAAACTTATTTTCTATGCTATGTTAGACTAAAGACTGTTGACATTAACTTTTCTCTTTAAACATGTTAAGCTAATGTTTTTTGAAAACACTATCCAGTCTTAATATCCTATCTGCTTTCTATTAGGCCTTTACAACTGAAATTGAGATGTTGAATCTGGTAGTTCAACGTTTATGAAAGTCTTTTTAAATTTTTTGTAGGTACGGAAACAGGTTTATCTTTAAATGCCACCTGGAATATGAAAGAATGTTCTTTAACCAGCTTACTTATAGTGTAGAAATTCTATCAACCAATCTATTACCATGTCTATTAATTAGGGCCAAAATAACTGGTCTTAGAAACATTGCTAAATTAAGAGTAAGTTTATATGTTTTTCTTGATTTTTAATATGGGGCTACTTATGCATAACTGTGCCTACGTAATGATGGAGGCATACAAAGCAGTCGATGCTGCAGCTCACAAAGCGAATTTGTTAGATGAGATAGACAGAGACTTCCAGACCCTGGACAGGCAGGGCCTGCACTACGCCCCTCATAAGCAGGAAGCAGTTACAAAAGATGGATGATTCTATGTCCTTCAATATCCGCTAGGACTAAGAGGATGGAGTCTCTGAGAGGGGAATGATGTAGGCAGGCATACAGATTAATTGATCGGGTTTGTGAGCTGGAAGACCACGTCCCTGTGTGACCTCATGCCCCTACCTGGCCAAACCCGTGTGCCCACCTGCCAATAAGGTTAATTAACCACTACCCTTTGGATTAAAAGCCTGGGACACAGTGGGCTTACTCTCTTCCTTCCATTTTTTTGGCCTTTGCCAGTGTGGGTTCCTGTGGCCCTGTGCTTCCAAGGCGCGTGGCCTTTGGGCCACCCGCCTCATGCTTCCTGGCCTATATGCTCCTCCACGTGGTGGCTCCTGGTGCTCAGTATGAACCCAGATTTCTCTCTTTTAGATAGCGCCCTCATTCTCCTATGCATTTCTCACCGAATAAAAGCTTAAAATACAAAAACAACAACAACAACAAAAAAGAGTCAAATGCCGCAGACAAATATAATTAACAAGGCCCATTTTGGTTATGAATAAAAAAGTATGATGACACTTCAGCAAGTTTGCAAAAAATGAAAAGTTAACGAGCGCTTTCCATGACCTTTTTGAAGACTCATGATAGAGAGTGTGATATACTATTAAAGACGAACTATTCCTAGGGACTTGTGCTGCACTTGATCTTAGCCGACAGGCTGAGAAGGGATCCTGGGTATTTGTACTTGTACTACTTTGCAACAAAATTAGTGTAGCTATTGATTCCTCTTCCTGAGAACATTCTGGGGTACCTTCACAATAGTACTTTAGTAAATTTGGCATAAACTCCAAGTGTCAAAGCCAGAACTGGAAAGGCACTTAAGTATGGCAACATAAAAATTTAGACATATTATGCTTCCACACTGCAGTGAAATTACACTTTAAAAATCGTGCGTTGTTAAAGTAATCTAGTATTATCTCTCTGTGGGTTTTTAATCTGCTCTTTTAAGTCTAATCAGGATTGAATATACACTGGAAACAAAGACATGATCCAAAGATTAGCCTTGTAAAATACGGATTGGATTTCCAACTGAAGGTAAACTCCTACTGCACATCCCCACGCCAAGCAGATTCAGTGATAATAGTAACATAAATGACCTGGGCACAGATACGGTTCCACGGGGGGTGAGAGTACTCTCGGCACATATTTTCTGGGGGTAAGACTCGGTCTATTATTAAAGTACTACGAATAACATCACTAAAAAAAAAAAAAAAAAGGAAAAGAAAAAGCTATTCCCAGGTAACTAAACGTAATTTGGATTTTAAAAGCTGTTTTTAGGGTATGCTACAGTGAGGCAGTTAGGAATGTGAGCAAGGATGGCTGGATATCAAATTCTGCTCTTGCCTTCTTACTAACTCCATGACCTTAAGGAAGTTACTTCTCTGTGCTTTAACTGATTTTCTGTAAAATACTGGGGAAATAAAAACAAGCCAATAGGATTGTTATGTGGATTAAGTGAACTAATTCATACAAATACTCACAACAGTGCCTGGCATGAGATAATAGCTCTTTAAGCATAACAAGCAATAGCAATGGTAACAATAATCATATTATTGTTGCTATTATTATTTTAAAATTGATTCTTTAGTTATAGGAAAGTACAGGATCATTTGTTATCTCAATAGAAAATAATGTGATTAGAGATTAGAACATTTTTCCATTTCAGTGTTTAAACTGTCTGACAGTGGCTAGGCGTATGAACAATTTGAACTGCGAGATTCCTGTTCTAGCATCCTGAAACAGTATCACAGTCCCTTGGCAACAAGAACTGCTCTGCCGCTGTGGATTTTATAAGGTGATTTTCAGTGCACATCCAGAGGAAACACCATTTATAAGCATACAGTTAATTGGAGCTCACAGGAAGAGCACAGTTAAGTACTATTCCTACGTGGGGCTGGTGAGTTACACCGTACAATTAATACTTCTCTGTGGGAAAAAAATTGGGCTGTCTCTCTTCCAAGGAAGGAAAAAACTGGCAATATGGGAACATTGAAAAGTTCTGGCAAGTTCTGTATCTTATTCTTTAAAATTTACCCTCCCCAATTGGAAATCTAATAAAGACTTTGTAATGAGGTTTTGTTCCTTAGTCTTCCCTGATAAGAAGCTTAGACAAGAGGGGAAGCATAACCTTGTTTTGGTGGAGACCGGTAGGAATTCTCTTGCAAACATGACTTTCTCACCGTTATACCCCCTTCATATCCATCTATACTGTACTCTTACAGTACTGCGTTAGGAAATTATGCCATTATTTATCACGCATGTTAACTGAATATAGCCATCACCTGCATTTCTGAGAAAGCACCCACTTTTTACTCTCATGTCTTACATAGTATTAACACACCCAAATCCAGGTATTATTTTTGACATGTTTAATGTAATGATTGATTGATTGATTTACTTTCTTACTGACTGACTTATTTGAAAGGCACAGGGGAGGGATCTTCTATCTGTGATTCACTCCCCAAATACCTGCAACAACCAGGGCTGGGCCAGGCAAAAGCCAATAGCCAGAAATTCCAGGGATCGCAGGGACCTAACCACTTGGGCTATCATCCATTGCCTTCCCAGGTGCGTTAGCAAGAAGCTGAATGGGAAGCAGGGTAGCTATGACTCCACCTAGCACTCTGAGATGCCAGTGTTGCGTGCACCAGCTTAACCCACTGTGCCACAACACTGGCCCCTGCTTCCTAAACACCAAGATGTTTGGAAATCTTAACCCTGAAATGACTGTTCACGCAGATGTACTGTGCGCAAATGCTGGATTATCGCTGCCGCTCTGGGTTTACTGAAGGTGGTTTGTGTAGCTATGACAACGAGATGGAGTCTAGAACTGTCAATATTCTTTACCTCCTCATAGCACGTGTAACTGAGTCCCCACAGCCTAGTCAGTATCTTATCCTGACCTGCAGCTCCCTGGGAGAGCCGGGGTGGGAGTGGCCTCCGCACACCGCTGAAACCACAACATCACAGCTGCCCACAGCCCCGATTTCAGTGGGGGAAACAGGAAGAGCGTGCCGAGTTTACCAGGCAAGACTGGAGGAGAGCAAAGCCCCGGGAACCTGGAGGATCTCTGGGGTCTTCCTGAATGTTAAAGACTCTGTGCGCAAACCAAAGCCGTGGGCGCGCAGGGGCCGCAGTCAGTCCCCTGCCGCAGACCCGCGGGCCTGCGCAAACCCGAAGGGAAAGGTGGCCGGCCTCCCTCCCGCTTTCCCCTGGCGGACATGCCAGGCCTGTCAGGCCATCTCTGGTCCCTGACCGACCTCTAACTCAAGGTGAGCCAGCTTAGAACCGCAAGAACTTTAAAAACTCGAAGAGACATCGATGGCGGGCCGACAGAGGCTACAGTTAGTCCGAAAAAGCTGCCCAACAAGTAAGTGAGGCCAACAAACCCAGGGCAGAGGGTCTGGACACCAGCGTGGTTACCAGGTGTCATTTAAACTGTTCAGTAACAGCGACCAGAGCATGAGCCGAGCGCAGGTGGAAGCCAAGTGGGTGTGACATTAAACGGGCAACTGAGAGACCCCCGTGGGCAGGGGATTGGGCGTAATCCTGGCCTCGCTCTCTGCGCCCTGGTTCCTATACCACAGTTCAACAACTGAAGAAAGGGTCTTGGGGTCTCCTACTATCTCATGCTATGGCATGTCAACCTACAATCATCTCAAACTAGAAAGCTTTATTTTAAAAAAGAAGAAGGGCCGGCGCCACAGCTCACTAGGCTAATCCTCCCCCTGTGGCGACAGCACCCTGGGTTCTAGTTCCAGTCGGGGTGCGGGATTCTGTCCCGGTTGCTCCTCTTCCAGGCCAGCTCTCTGCTGTGGTCAGGGAGTGCAGTGGAGGATGGCCCAAGTGCTTGGGCCCTGCACCCGCATGGGAGACCAGGAGAAGCACCTGGCTCCTGGCTTCAGATCAGCCCTCGGTGCGCCGGCCGCAGTGGCCATTGGGGGGTGAGCCAACGGAAAAGGAAGACCTTTCTCTCTGTCTCTCTCTCTCACTGTCCACTCTGCCTGTCAAAAAAAAAAAATGGAGAAATTATGACATCTTCATAAAACAGAAGCAGATAAATCATTATTAGCAAATCTACCCTAAAAAAAGGAAGTCCCTTCAGACTAAAATGGAAAAAAAAAAAAATCTCATGAAATGGTAACTCAACTCAGAATCCCATACATGAAGATGCAAAGAGCATAAATAAAGGTAACTACAGAGATAAATATAAAAAACAGTGTTGTGTATGTATTTTCATATTCCTTTTCTTCTTTAACAAGATAACTATAGAAATTATAAACCTGTGATGATGAGCTGATGCTAAAGATATTAAAGATACTAAGTTAATATTAATCTGAATTAATTTGTTTTTAGTTAAGATGCTAGTGTAATCTCCAGAGCAACCATAAGAGGAATTAAAAATATGGTAAAATTAAAAGGAAATTAAAGTGGTACACTAAAAAATACCTAGCAAGAAAGATCATAATTAAGGAAGGAAGCAAAAATACACAGCCATAGAAAATAAACAGCAAAATGGCATGCATAAATCTTATCAGTAATTACATTAAATGTAAATGGATTAACTATGCCAATCAAAAAGATATGGACAGAATAAGTTTTTTAAAAAAACATGTCTATTTACATGTCTTTTATAAAAGACAATTGTGATTCAAAGACACAAATAGACTGAAAGTAAGAGTATGAGGATGATGAACCATGCAATCTTTAAAAATTTCTTTGGAAACTTCAACACAGTTGACAGCTATCTTGATTTAAAAACAAAAAAAAGTCAAATACTACCAACTTTAGAAAAATAAAAAGTGATCAACTATATGACAAAAGAAAATTAGGTAACTTGGATGAGATGGCCAGATTCCTTAAGAGACAAAAACTACTGAAACTGACTCAATAAAATATCAGAATAGATCTATAATCAGACACGAAAGCAAACTCCTAACTTAAAACCTTCCCATAAAGAAAAGTCCAGGACCCTGGTTTCACTGGTGAATTTTACATATACATTCATGTGAGGCATAATGATGGACTGTATACTGAGCAGTATAAGATTATATTGCCTAGTCATGTTGTAGTTGTCAGTTTGTATAAGTACACTCTATGATGTTTACACAAGAAAATCACCTAGTAGCTCATTTCTTAGAACACCTCCCCATTGTTAAGCAACATGACTGTGTTTTAAAAATTGAAGGAAACACTTCCCAACTCCTTCTAAGATGCTAGTATTACTCTGAGTCCCAAACCATATAAAGACAGCACAAGAAAACTGCATGCAGACCATTATCCCTCACGAATTTGTACATTAAATCCTCAACAAAACACCAAAAAATTGAATCCAGTAACATGGGAAAAGGATTATTCATTATGACCATGTAATATTTATCCCAAGAATGGAATCTTGGCTTAAAATGTGAAAATCAATATAATGTATGACATCAACATAACAAAGGATTAAAACTACATGATCATCTCAATAGATGCAGAAAAAGCATCTGACAAAATCCAATACACTTTCATGGTTTAAAAAAAAGCTAAATAAACTAGAAATAGAAGGGAAATTCCTCAAACTAATAAACGTGTATCTATGGAAAACATAATTATATCATGCTTAATTAGGAAAACATGGAAAATAATGAAGTTAAACTACTATCTCACATTATAGACAAAAGTTAAATACATTAGAGACTCAATGTAAGAGTTAAAACTTTTACAAGGAAACAGAAGGGTAAACGTTCTTGAACTTGTATTGAAGACTGTTTTTGAAATATAAAGTTTCTATATTAGGTTCCCACCAAAACTGAGTAGAAAATATAGAGTTCCCACTTAACTCGCTCTCCCCAATGCATAACGGGTTCCAACATCAACACTGCACACCAGAGCAGTACACTCTCACAATCAATTAACCAATAGACTCATCACTGTCGCCCAAATTCCATAGCTGTTTACATTAGGATTCACTTTTTTTTTTTTTTTTTTTTTGACAGGCAGAGTTAGACAGTGAGAGAGAGAGAGGGAGAGAGAGGAAGGTCTTCCTTCTGTTGGTTCACCCCCCAAATGGCCGCTACAGCCGGTGCGTTGCGCCGATAGGATTCACTCTTGATGTTCTATAGTTTATGGATAAATATACAATGACATGCATCCATCATTATGTACAGAATGGTTTCACTGCCCTAAAAACTCTGCGTGCTCCACCTATTCAGATCTTCCTACATTAAGTTTACATCTAATTTAAGTCTTCATTGAAATGACACTACCATTTCATTGGTAGTGCCAAGTACCTTATAATAGGGTATTCCCAATAATCTCTTTTAACATGGTTATTATTCATTTCTCTTTTTCATAAGCTTTAACCACTGAATACATTTGTTGCTATTATTATTTTGAAAAAAACATTCATTGTGACAATTTAAAAAAGACTGCATTTTGCCTTCATTTATTCCTTTTCTAATTATTTTTCTTTATATAAATCTAAGTTTATGGTGGTATTAGTTACCAGAAATGTTTTAATACTGCAGACTGTATGGCTTGACCAAGAGCAATTTATTTTCTCACACTTGGGGGGGCTCAAGTCCATGACTGGGATGCTCACTGCTTTCATTCCTTCTGAAGCCTTTCTCTTTGGCCTGCAGACAGCATCTTGCTCTTTGTGTTCTTACATGCTGAGCCCTCAGTTTGAGGGTGCATTTGTCTACTGTCATTCTCTGTTGGCAAACTAACTTGTTCTCCCAAGGACACCATCACATTGAACTAGGGCCTAGTCTGGTGACCTATTTTGACTTAATTACCTCTTTAATAGTCCTATTCCCAAGTTCAAAAAACCACATTCAACATATAAATTTTTGGAGGACACAATTCAGCCTATAACTGATCTGTACTGTTTCTGAAAAACTTCTAACATTTCTTGCATGGCAAGTCTACCATTAACTAATTTCCTCATGTCTTGTTTGAGAAGGTCTTCATTTCTCTTTCACTTGAAAGATAATTTAGCTGGGTACAGAATTCTAGACTGGTGTTATTTTTTCCTTTAATATCAAAAATATTTGGCTGCACTGTCTTCTTGGGATTTTTCATAAACTGAGTTGCATCCGGTGGATTGTCCAGATTTGGGTTAATCAAAACTGTCACATTGGTGGTGTTGTGTTCTTCCATCAAGAAGCATAATGTCTCTCTCTATTTTCTGGATGTTAAGAGCCACTGATGCTCAGTGCCTAGGGTCATTAATACATGACAAGTTGCAAAATACTGATGGTCCAATCTATCAGTCCATTTTTAATTATCATATAGAGCACTCTTAGAAGGAATTCTCCCTTTATCTACTCTTTGATCACTCAAAAGGTACAGTTGAAATAGGAAAGTCAGGATAATTGCTTGATGCCTTTACTACAATTATTATAATAAGTTGGTTCACTACCATCCTAAACTAATGATTTTTGTGGATTTTTTAGCTTCAGTATAAACTTAGGAACTTAAACACAGACATATCTCAATTCCTGTCATATTTCTGAAATAAAGCAAAATCTTAGTTCATACTTACTTGCTAGTTAATATAATCAGCAATATAATAATAACAATAATAATATTCAGGAGATATTGCCATTCAGCTTGGAACAAAAAATGTGTACCAAAGATGTAAATGGCACTTCACAAAAAACAGTATTCAGATGGCCAATAAAAGTGTAAACAGATGCTCAATCCCATTTGTCACCAGGTAAATATAAATTAAAACATAATATGTGCAGGGCCGGCACTGTGGCGTACCAGGTAAAGCCACCAACTGCAGTGCCGACATCCCATATGGGCGCCAGTTTGAGTCTCGGCTGCTCCACTCCCCATCCAGCTCTCTGCTGTGGCCTGGGAAAGCAGTGGAAGATGGCCCAAGTCCTTGAGCCCCTGCACCAGCTTGGGAGACCCAGAAGAAGCTCCTGGCTCCTCGCTTTGGATCAGCCCAGCTCTGGTTGTTGTGGCCAATTGAGGAATGAACCAGAGGATTGAAGACTTCTCTCTCTCTCTCTCTCTCTTTCTCTCTCTCTCTCTCTTTGCTTCTCCTCTCTCTATGTAACTCTGACTTTCAAATAAATCTTTAAAACAACAACAAAAAAACCATAATATGTGGTGCTTTAAAACGTTCATGGAAAAAGCAGAATTAAAAGTAAGTTTATTTTGGTGCAAGAAATTTTGAAATCCATGCACCATTTTCATAAAAGATATTTTCCAGGAACTTTTTGATGATCCCTCATTATGTACAGATTTCAAAATTTTCTGCACCAAATTAAACTTTTAATTCTATTTTCCCTGAACTTTTTAAATTACTCTCAATCACCACTCTATGCCCACCAGAATGACTAAGATGAAAACAAAACACTAAAGATCCCGAGGATGCGGAGTGGCCCGAATCCTCCTCACAATGGTAAAGGGAACTGGTACAACCATTTTGGAAAACTGTCTCACAGTGTCTGCAAACTGAACAATGCGTATCTTACACTCCAACAATATTCCTGGATATACACCCAACAGAAAGGGATGTGGATGTTCACTACAAGACACAAATCGCTTGTAGCAGCCTGAGTCAAAGTAGCTAGAAGGCAAAAGCAGTAGTGGAATGGGTGAAAAACTGAAATGCTGATCAGCAGGAGACCGGATATATCAATGACATATTTGCACAGAGAGAATGTGGGAACTGTATTTATACTCAAAAGCACTGAGGAATCTCAGGAACATAATTTTGAGAGAAAAGGTAAGACACAAGGTCAAAACAGGCAAAATGAATTCAGTGTGGAAAGTCACTTGGGGCCGGCGCCGCGGCTCACTAGGCTAATCCTCCGCCTTGCGGCGCCGGCACACCAGGTTCTAGTCCCGGTCGGGGCGCCGGATTCTGTCCCAGTTGCCCCTCTTCCAGGCCAGCTCTCTGCTGTGGCCCGGGAAGGCAGTGGAGGATGACCCAAGTGCTTGGGCCCTGCACCCCATGGGAAACCAGGATAAGTACCTGGCTCCTGCCATCGGATCAGCACGCTGGCCGCGGCGGCCATTGGAGGGTGAACCAACGGTAAAGGAAGACCTTTCTCTCTGTCTCTCTCTCTCACTGTCCATTCTGCCTGTCAAAAATTTAAAAAAAAAAAAAAAGAAGAAGAAGAAAGAAAGTCACTTGGGTGGGCTGTAGGCAGGAATCCAGCGACTGAAAAGGACTACCAGGATGCTATTTCTTTCTGTGTGTGTGTGTGTGTGTTTTTTTTTTTTCATCTGATTTTTTTCTTTTTTTTTTTTTTGACAGGCAGAGTGGACAGTGAGAGAGAGAGACAGAGAGAGAAAGGTCTTCCTTTGCCGTTGGTTCACCCTCCAATGGCCGCCGCTGCAGCCGGCGCACCGCGCTGATCCGATGGCAGGAGCCAGGTACTTATCCTGGTTTCCCATGGGGTGCAGGGCCCAAGCACCTGGGCCATCCTCCACTGCACTCCCTAGCCATAGCAGAGAGCTGGCCGGGAAGAGGGGCAACCGGGACTAGAACCCGGTGTGCCGGCGCCGCAAGGTGGAGGATTAGCCTATTGAGCCACGGCGCCGGCCCTTTTTTTCATCTGATTAAGGGCTAATAGGTACACTCACCTTGTGAAAATACATAGAGTACTTTTCTATATATTTACTCTACTTCAAGGAAGTTTTTATTAAAAACAGTTTGTGATATCCTTGTCTATTTTCCCCATCTTTTATTAAGTAATGCTTATTTGTATAAGACACAATTCTCAAACTCCTTTGAATCCACAGCACTTTAGGACCGCAAGTCCAGAGAAATCAGAGTCCTAACAGGTCGCTCACAATGGAACATTGGCAGAAAAACTTAAGCCATGGAACTGCTAAGTCTTCTACAGCACAACTACATTATGCTGTCCACGTTCCAAGGGCAAACCAAATGAATATGAAACTGCTCTGAAAATGAAATAGTACCAGAACTCAGGAAAATCGTTTAGTCGACTGTTTGCAGAACTGGTTGGTCAAGTCTGCTGCTCAAAAGGTAGTCTTTGCATAATGGGGATTTTCTGTCTTTCTAGGGGGTCCATGTTAACACATTTGATAAACTTGTATCTTAATGTGCCTCTCTGGAATACCAGTGTGACCTCAATCTGAACAAAGCCTTCCTTGATGATGTTTGCAGGAGGTTAGCTTGGTCATTTTCCCCGCCTGCATGTTTATTATTGAATGTTAATCAGATTCCTCATTAAAGATTCATCTGCCACACCAGGGCGTAATTGGCTGTCTCTGAGCGGCCACCTTTTGTCTTGAGCAGATTGCTAAAACTGCACTAAGCAGCATTAGACCAAAATGATGACCTTATTCATTTGTCCTTTACTTGTTTGCCAACAGATTAGACCTGATTATTATGCAAACACACTACAAAGAACTGTCTTAGAAAAAGCTCATGAATTTTGCTCAGTCAAAATCAGTTTTTATGCAGAAGAATGCCTGAAATAATTGATAATGATGCTTATTAAGCTGCTTCTTTATGTGTATGTTATAATGCACCATTCAGAAGTTGAGTTAAAAGAGGTAAAGTGTTCAATTTATAAATCAAGCACTGCTTACCTATTTTGATCTGTTTTACCATCCACTTTTATTGATGAAATGGTGCAAAGGAGGAAAAGATGAAATCCACTACTTAAACGTGCATATTACTTTCCTCTTGAATTGGATTAAGATAAACAGAATAACCACAAAAGTCTAACAATACACTTAGTAAATCCATGTTTTTCACTAAAATATTTACTTAACAATTACATTTCCTGAGCTTCTTTACGGATAACCCACAGAATGCTATTTGTAAAATACCCATCTGGGGTGGGGATTTCCCAAAGGAACGACATACAGTGACATCTTGCTTATTCTATGTCCATACTCGCGGTTAGGTAAGTTTGCAGGAAATGAACTGCGCCAACTTGGCTGCCATCTGCAACCTGACGATTTCAGCGTAATTGTTTTAAGCAGGATGTGCCTCACTCTGATCTCCAGAGTCTTTGGTAATCTGTCTGCCCCTGGGGCTGAGACTTGGCTACACATGGAGCTATTGCAGCCTTAGAAATGAAATCGCACCCAAGAAGGGTTCAGGTGGACTTAGCTTTACAATCGGATTAAAAGTTCGGAGTGCCCAGATTCAGATGGTTATCCTTCCTATTCCTGAACACCGGGATATAGGGAATGATGCTTATGATTTTATATTTTATCAAGGAACTAAATCCTCACAGAGCCATACATTACGCTAGGGATGAGGTACTGGCAAACATGTTATAAATAAAGTACTTATGATAGGTTGTAAACGTGTTCTACAGATCTAAGAGTGAAAATATTGCTTCTTTAGTGGAAATATTTTTGTTATTATCTGAACTGATCTTTTCTTCATCATTAAAAACAGAACTGGACCGTGGAGAAGGTGAGTGACGGCATCAGCGGATTTAGTTACTGAAGAACCAAAAGAACTCATTATGAATTGACAAATGGTATGTTAAATTGAATGAGCAGCGTCTACTTATAAAAGATGGCAATATCGCAAATACAGCCCAATTAAGACGCTGTTCCGCCAAAGCTGCTCAGTGGAATCAATGCTAGATGTTCGGTATAAACTGTCTGCGGGCCCTGGAATGCATCTTTCCACCAACTTCGGCAATCTGGCCTTGCATCCAGGACTCACTCTGTCCCACTATTTTTTTTTTTCTCCCTTGAAAAAAGTTTCCTGGGGTGAGCTAGGTTGCCTGCTTCCCACACTGAAGTGGCTGCTTCCTGGCTCTGGCTCCTGATTCTGACTAGTGTGTGCCCTGAGCAGATGCAGGGGGTGGCTCAAGTACTTAAGACCCTGGCACCCATGTGGGAAACCCAAGATGGAGTTCTGGGCTCCCGGCCTTAGCCTGGTCCGGCCTTAGCTGTGGTGGACATTTAGGGAAAGAACCAGAAAATGGGGTGTGTGTGTGTACATGCGTGTGTGAGCACGTGTGCGCACCTGCCTGTGAATTACATGTAAATTAAAAAAGAAAGTAGACTGTTCCCAAGTGCTGCTTTTCTCTTGTTTTACGGCATGTCAACCCGACAGGCAGCTCGCTCGCTGGCGTATCCATTCCCCTTCACAACGAGACGTCAGTTACCTCAGGGCTCCAGGGACCTTAACTCCTGTCCTGTAAGAGTTAACACTCCCTGGGACGGCAGGAAGCAGCCCGGATTAGGAGCTGAGGTGCTGGTCTGAGCTTTACCACTGTAATTCCCTTACTGTCTAGGTACGACCGACACATGGGAGGCTAATTCCCTTGACCATAGTCTGTGCACAGAGGGTGGGACTGGTGCTAGCCTGCTTGCCACGAAGTCCTACCCACTGCTCCGGAAGTCTCGTCAGTTCTAGAGATTTCCCCTTTCCTTCGTAAACTGCCCGCCATACACTGTGCTAACCCGGCTGTAGAAGCGGCCGGGCCTCATACCCCATTCCTAACAGTCTTTGGGGGTGGTGTGAGAGGGAGAGAAGGGAGAGAGAGAGGGGGGAGGAAGAAAGAGAGAGAGAGAGGAGAGACACAGAGAGAGAGAGAGTAAGCATAGCAGTCCTTAAAGAAGACGTAAAAGTTGAGAGAGGTTCTGTATCCCCACCGACACAGGGTTTATTGCGGGTGTAGAAAGAGGGGAGGACCGAAACATGCCTGTTAAAGTTTCTGTTTGTAACAAATAATACTGTTATACTCTCAAACTGCCACAAAGGCCAGGTCGCCCCTGCGGGTGGCCAAGTACAGTCTTCACCCGCGCCTCCCGGGTGCGCAGCAGCGGCAGACTGGCATGGGAAGCAGGGTGGGACTCATGGCCCAGGACCCCCAGCGCCGCCAGCCTCGACAGGAGCCCCGGGAGCCCAGGGTGCTCGCAGCCCTTGACCTCCCCTCCCCTCCCTCGGCGCCACCACACCACCCAGCTGCCTGCTTCTGCCTCCTGATCTCCAGCTACTCGGTTCTCAGAATCTTGATCTCCTCCCGTGTCACGGTGTTAAGTACAAGGGGGAAAATCGCCTCCCTTACAGGAAAGAACCTTTTCCGTTAATAATCAAGACAAAGGTTTCGTGACTGTGCTGGGCGACCTGGTGGTGCTCTCCAGAGTTCAGCTGCTGTCCTCCGAAAATGGGAAGCAAGCTGCGGGGTCTGCTGGCCTCAGCGCGCACACAGAGGGCATGCGTGTAGGAAAGCGTCCTGGCCAGCTTCCTGCACACTGCAGAGCGCACGCTCCAGGGAGGGACTGAGTGGTGGACAGAACAGCGGGCCTGGAAACCTGACTGCTGTATCCTGTGTGCTGCTGAATTTATTTCTCACGACGGTCAGTAGTCATTTTACACAGCAAGAAACTAAGACCCACCAGTAGGAGATTCAGGTTTGAAATGCAAGACTAACTGCCCACAAAGCCTCTGGATCTGTTTGTTGTTCACTGTGTCTCACTGCCAGACTGGAGTTATTAGATGGACTTTGACAAATCAATGTATTAGAACTTCCGTTTTTTAAATTTATAAATCAGAAATAATATCTGTGCTGCCCAGCTCCTGAGGATTTTGAAGAATGAAATGAAGCACTGGAAAATTTGAAGCACTATCTACATCTAGCCAGTCGTACTGGGCTAAGAGGAAATAGATGCACATGAAAGCAGGCAGCACACTTTTAATGAAGAAAGTTCAGCACTGGATTTAAGATGATTGGAATTTTTTAGGGCAAACAAAAGTTTATGAGATATTTCAAGCTTCAAGTGAATAGAATGACAGCAGAAAGCTCTCAGGTTCCTCTCATCTGGGGCTGACGCTCTGCCTTTTCTGCACGTTTCTTCCACGAGAAACAGACAAATCATTAGCCACAGAAACTGCCAGACAGGACTGAGTCAAGAAAGGCAGTTCCACTTGTGCTCCAGAGCCAGCACAGATTCAGTCTGACGCCCTGAATCGTCTACGTCCATGACCCTGGTCATTAGGAAATTTTAAGAGATGTTAAGCACAACCAACTTACCAAATCAGAAAAGTGTGATATATCATAAATCTCTGTACAAAAATACGTAAAGTACACATTTTGGAAGGTTTTAAATACCAACATTTACCTGCTCAATAATTTTATTATTACTGTTTAATGGTTTATTTATGGGGCCAGCGCTGTGGCATAGTGGGTTAGGCTGCCACCTGCAGTACCAGCATCCCATTTGGTCGCCAGTTCAAGACCCGGCTGCTCCACTTCCGATCCAGCTCTCTGCTATGGCCTGGGGAAGCAGCAGAAGATGGCCCAAGTCCTTGGGCCCCTGCACCCATGTGGAGGACCCAGAGGAAGCTCCTGACTCCTGGCTTTGGATTGGCGAAGCTCTGGCCTTTGCAGAAAATTGGGGAGTGAACCAGCGGATGGAAGACCTCTCTCTCTGCCTCTCCTTCTCTCTCTCTCTGCCTCTCCTTCTCTCTCTGAGTAACTCTGACTTTCAAATAAATAAATCTTAAAAAAAATTATTTATTTACTTGAGAGGCAGAGCTACAGACAGGGGTGGGGGGAGACAGAGAGAGAGATCTTCCATCCGCTGGTTCACTCCCCAAATGGCCACAGCTGTTACAGCTAGGCTGATCTGAAGCCAGGAGCTTCTTCCTGGTCTCTAAAAAAAGGTGCAGGGCCCAAGCACGTGGGCCATCTTCTGCTGCTTTTTTGAGCTGTCAACAGGGAGCTGGATTGGAAGTGGATCAGCAGGGACTAGAACCGGTGCCCAAATGGGGTGCTGGCACCATAGGTAGGTGCTTAACCTACTATGCCACAGCACCGGCCCCAATATTTCTATTATTGAGGAGCCACAACAATTAACTAGCAAATTGCTATACTCAATTTCTTGAAGTTTTTTTTGTCTCTTAAGAATGTTTAGAGCTTCACGAGTTCAGAAAAGCATGTCTCTCACGATATGGTAGTGACAACTCAGAGAGAACAAAATCAATGAAGGAACAATTATTAATGTTTGACAACACACACTGTGTGTTCCACATACCAGCAAATTTTAGCCAGCATTCAAATTCTAGCAGGGCTTTTTTAAACTTTAAATCAACTATGATTATATACAGTTAATTTGGGGGGATTTCTAGATAAGCAAATGAGTATTAAATTTTGTAAAAATGAATGTGTACAGGCTGGTGCCGTGGCTCACTTGGCTAATCCTCTGCCTGTGGCGCCAGCACCCCAGGTTCTAGTCCCAGTTGCTCCTCTTCCAGTCCAGCTCTCTGCTATGGCCTGGGAAGGCAGTGGAGGATGGCCCAAGTGCCTGGGCCCTGCACCTACATGGGAGACCAGGAGAAGCACCTGGCTCCTGGCTTTGGATCAGCATGGTGTGTCGGCCTCAGCACGCTGGCTGCAGTGGCCACTGGGGAGTAAACCAAAGGGAAAAGGAAGACCTTTCTCTCTGTCTCTCTCTAACTCTGCCTGTCAAAGAGAGAGGAGGAGACATAGAATGTGTACAGTTTTTCTTTCATCATTATATCCTGACTACAAAACTTTACAAAAGGGTATGCACATATTTTTAATTAGCTAATATATGCATAGCTGTATTTTGGCCACCATTTGGCTTTAGCCATTAAAAATTCATTTATAAATGGTTTTTCTGTAAACTATATGAATAGGGCTGAAGAAATTTTTTTTAAGATTTTATTTATTTGGGCCAGGGCTGCGGCTCACTAGGCTAATCCTCCACCTTGCGGCGCCGGCACACCAGGTTCTAGTCCTGGTGGGGTCGCCAGATTCTGTCCCGGCTGCCCCTCTTCCAGGACAGCTCTCTGCTGTGGCCCGGGAAGGCAGTGGAGGATGGCCCAAGTGCTTGGACCCTGCACCCCATGGGAGACCAGGATAAGCACCTGGCTCCCTGCCATCGGATCAGCATGGTGCGCTGGCCTTGGTGGCCATTGGAGGGTGAACCAACGGCAAAGGAAGACCTTTCTCTCTGTCTCTCTCTCTCACTGTCCACTCTGCCTGTCAAAAAAAAAAAAAAAAGATTTTATTTATTTATTTATTTTATTTATTTATTTTTTTTTTGGACAGGCAGAGTGGACAGTGAGAGAGAGAGACAGAGAGAAAGGTCTTCCTTTGCCGTTGGGTCACCCTCCAATGGCCGCCGTGGCCAGCGCGCTGTGGCCGGCGAATCGCGCTGATCCGAAGGCAGGAGCCAGGTGCTTCTCCTGGTCTCCCATGCGGGTGCAGGGCCCAAGCACTTGGCCCATCCTCCACTGCACTCCTGGGCCACAGCAGAGAGCTGGCCTGGAAGAGGGGCAACCGGGACAGAATCCGGCGCCCCGACTGGGACTAGAACCCGGTATGCTGGCGCCGCTAGGCGGAGGATTAGCCTGTTGAGCCATGGCGCCGGCCAAGATTTTATTTATTTTACAGGTAGAGTTACAGACAGAGAGAGAGAGAGAGACAGAGAAAGGTCTTCCTTCCATTGGTTCACTCCCCAAATGGCTGCAATGGCCGGAGCTGCGCCAATCCGAAGCCAGGAGCCAGGTGCTTCTCCTGGTATCCCATGCGGGTGCAGGGGCCCAAGGACTTGGGCCATCCTCCACTGCACTCCTGGGCCACAGCAGAGAGCTGGACTGGAAGAGGAGCAACTGGGACTAGAACTGGAGCCCATATGGGATGCCGGCACCACAGGCAGAGGATTAACCTAGTGCGACATGGCGCCGGTCCCAAGAATTTTGCTATATAATAATACTTTATCAAGTTATGGTGAAATACAATTTTTAAGAGGAAAGCTCACTGAGTTTAGAAATTTGTCATGTGGGGTTTCAAAGGGCACATGCCGCTCACAAGAGCGCTAAAAACATTTTTTGGCATATTATCACTTGAAGATTCAAGTCTCTGCCTTCCTGAATTGACACTTCAAGGCTCTGTAGTCTTAAGGATGGAATCAGGCTGTATTTTAAGCCTGCAAGAGGAGCTGGAAAACTCAGGAAGCGGCTGCACTGCTGCATAGTCTAACCCAGAGTCCTTACTGTGCAACTGGAGTTCATGCAGCTTGCGCCACCTCCAGCCTCTTTTAGGAGTAACAGATAGAAATCACTTCTTTGCTACAGGCATGTTGTCTGACTTTGTAGAACAAATTCAAAACATCAATCCACAGAAAAACAAGTTCAAGGATTGTTTCCAAAACGGCACAGTTTTTATAAATTGTGTCATTGAGTTATTTTCTTTCTCTGTGAATATTTCTTTTTAATTTTCCAGTTTTATTTTGCTTTAATTGATATGCAATAATTGGATGTGACCCATTTTAAATTATCAAGGATATTAAATAAGGTTTTAGAATTTTGAAAGTTGCAAATTGATTTGTCCCAAGAATGTTACATAGTTTTAGAACTGAATACTGTTAAGCAATAGTTTGAATAATTCACTAAGTAAAAACCAACTATATTAAGAAAGTTATAAAGATTATTAAACTTTTGGATTTTTAAATTCATTTATTCAACAATTTTAAATTCATTCATTCAACTAGTAGTTATATACTGTACTGGGCACTGGGAATGCGATGGGCTGCAAAACCACATACTAGAGGTCA